AAAATAAACTGACTTATCATTATTTGCTGTCGGTATTTTTTTAACTTATCAGACAAATTGTCAGGAATCTAGAAAAAAACGTTTCAAATAAAGTATTGTCAGGCGGAAAACCCGCATAATTTGAGGTAGGTACAACATTGAAAACATCTGAACATACTTTACTAACCAACAAATTTTCCTCGGGGGAAAAAGCGCATTTTAGTAAAACTATAATAACTTCTACACTACAGCCTAAACTCAAAATCTAAAATTGATGTTATTTCAAAATAGTTTTCAGTAAATATACCGTGTCTGGGAGCCTCTAAACCCTCAAGATCCGAGATTTATCAAATATCGTAATTTAACCAGGTAGTTACTGAATGCATTTTATGCATGCGCATTTAATCACTAATTAAGTAATATTTATATGCATACAGTATCGTTTGGTTGACTATAATATTATTGCAGATTGCAGTAAAATGAAAAAATAATAATTTATTACTTATTTGTGTGTACGGGTAAATGTACAGACAAAATACTGAAACTGAAAGGCGTTTAAATATTATTAAATGATAAACAATTATGTTAAATACGTATCGATTATCGTTATAACCGACAGCTAGTATTTCGATTAGTTTTCCGCGGCATTTGTATTTTCATCTACCGGGCGCCTAAATTGCAAAATGCTGCCTATCCCGGTGCGCCAGGTCGACACTGCGGGGTGCACACGCGCACTCGCACGCACACACTCACACACACAATCGCGCAAATCCGACGTTTCGAACTTGAAAATATTAATTATAACGCCGATGGTGGCGGGCAATATAAACGCGTCGACAGTCGTTTCGGGAACACAATCATAATACGCGCGGGCAGGACAAAACCCTTGGCGTTGGCCGGGCGCCCGCGTCGTAAAATCGCTTTACGATTATTAACAAACAACAACAACCGAAACGCTCGTGGAGAGCGAACGTGTGTGAACGACTGTAGCAGAGTGTGTGTGTGTGTGTGTGTGTGAGCGAGAGAGCGAAACCAACAAATAGGGACGGACGTGGTGTTTATTGGGTCAGTTGACGCGTCTCCGGCGACGGTGCGCGGCAACGCGATAAAGGCCACCGGTATTTTTTTATTGACCTTTAGGTTTTTTTGTTTTGTTTTTTTTTTTTTTTTACTACCCGCATCATACGCATCGCGCGTTATTACCACGGTAGTTTTGGCCAAGAGACGCGAATATTATACCACGCATACACGCACACACACAAGCCCATATAACATAGTTGACCGGCTCGTTAATTTTCCCGATGAACGAACGGGCGGGGTACGAGAGACGGAGAGATATTATATTGCCATGCGCGTACAGTAGACAGTACACCGTCATCGTCATCATCGCCGTCGTCGTATTATCATTATACACATAGAGCATAGCCGTTATTATTATTGTTATTATTGCTGCGATGATTGTTATCGCGCGTCGTATAATAGCGTACAGACGAGAGCCGTGTCATTATCGGTTATTACCCGCGAGGAGAGTTTTAATGCTCGGCTGCCGTTTAATAAACCCCGTGGCCGGGTAGTAAAACCGGACACCGATTGTAAAATTTAACAGAAAAAAAAGGAAAAAAATAAATAAAACGAAATTATATCGCACTCGGTAGCACGGCGAACGTTAAGGAGAGGGGTCGACCCCGGTGCGATAGATTCGCCGTTATTTATTATGCCGTGTTTATTATACGACGACGACCAGCATGACGGACGCGAAATATTGTCCGTGATGACAGATTGTGTTAGTGTTACGCATTTGCGTTGTTGTTGTTTTTACTCAATTAGATCGGTGTCCGGTCAAAGCGGTACAGATGTAGTGATCCGTTTAAGTATTTAAGATATTTCGAAAATGATTACGGTTTTTTTCGGAATTTTTATTTCGACGATCTATGAAACGATCAGATCCGAAATATTATATTATTACCGTTATGTATTGCCAGTGTTATTTTTATTGCCCGCCTTTGATTTTCAAATAAAAACCTAATAAAATGAAATTTTTTATTTTTTTTTCTTAACTTGACGACTATTTAGTTAAAATACATCTCGATGTTGAAATGATTAATTTCTGTCAATCCGTTGTCGATATATTCCGCTCTAAATGTTTAGATAGCGGGACAATAGTGGATCGTCATTGTTACACTCGAAATTCGGTGCAAGATTTTAGGGTGTAGAAAACGCCGCGAAAACGTAAACCGCGACGCCGTTTCGTCCGTTTTTCTTCTGCGTCCGTTTCCGGGTTTTTACGGTTGTTATAAAAAAAATAACCGTACGGTCGGAAAATTGAAAACCGAACTGCTTTTTGCGCCGAACAGAACGCGATGCGAAAAACATGTCTCGTGCAGTTTTTCTCTCGGCGGAAAACGCCGTTTGCGGGTTTTAAAAAAAAAACGCACAATATATCGCGTCCGTATCGCGCGCTTATTGCGCACGCACGCCCACCCGGGATTTCACCGTTGCCGTTTCTCCAGTATTAGCCGCCTACGTTTATACATATGTTATTGTACACCGGCGTGCCCGCGAAAGCGTAACGCGCCGCAGAGTGTTTCCGTCGACGCGAAGCGCGCGCGCTCTGCACGATCGTAGGCGCGTAACGCCCGTAGTCGTTTGCCGCGGATCCAACGGCACGTCGCACGCCCGCCGAAATGACAATATAATTATTAACGCGGCTGCCGGGCAACGGGTTTTTACGACCGGGTAAAGTTGCGTCGCCGTACAGCGGCGCGCAGAGGATCCGCCGTGTCGGCCGGACGCGGCCCCGAGAAGACGGCGGTGGCGCGGGTTTTACGACGCGCGGGCCCGACGCATAAAGCCCCGGCAGCGCCTTGTAATTGCCGTGAGTGCTTTTGTGTCTCTTATCGTAAAACCTGCCCCGGGCGTCTGGCACCCGTAGCCGCGTAGGTCGTGTTTTCGCTATTGTTGTAATTTGATTGAACCCATTGTGGAGACGAGAACCGTCAATTAGGGATTAAAAAAAAATATATATATATACACGTCTTCTTTTTTTTCGTTTTCTTTTTTTTAAGCGTCTTTAGGGATATCGGTCAACTCGTCTGTGAACAATTTACTGTTGTATCGACCGCGATATAATATACGGTGAAATCGATAAAACACCCCGCACGCAGTTACACGCAATAACGATAACGGGGTGTCAGTCAACGCGCGTTTTTAAGGACGTTTTTGTATGTTAAAGTAGTCAATTTTCGAGTGATTTCAATGTTAGTTTACCGCGCGTAGTGTCGATAAAAAAAAAAAAAACAAATACTGTCAGGACGATCGGAACTGAAAACGAAAAATAATCTTATCGTTTGCAGACATTAGAAGACGTCTACAAAGCGGAAAGAAATTAAACAGTATTAAAACGGTACGGACGCGTCGCTCCGCGACGCACTACACGCGGTGCCGCAGTAAAACTTTTTTAATGGACTTGAAGTGTTTTCGTCGAGTATAATTTTTTTTTCCTCTCTTTCCGAAACTGGTCAAAAAATTCGATGTCACCGTATAATAAATATCCCCGGGGGGACGAGTGCATTATGCGCGTGCAGCAACAGACAACGGGGTCCCACGAGCTTTGCGTCGATTCGCAGCCTTCGCCGTCGCCGGTAGCCGGTAGGTATATGGACGCTGGGCCGGCCGCCGTCATCATGGCCTTTGGCGTGTTCAGCTTTTAAACGGACGGTGTATATGCGCTCGACAAAAGAGAACCGAAACAGAAAAAGGAACTCGACGTACCCACTCGAAAAAGCTTTCAGACGAGCTCTTGTTTTTTTTTTTTTGCCTTCGTCCGGCTCGAGCGCGTATTATAATTAGCGCAGTGGCCGGTCATTTAAATAATAATAATAATAATAATGATATAATATGAAAGAACGAAAGGCGATGTAAACGCGCGCGCATATCCGACCGATAGAAAATACCTTTTTTTTTTCTTTTTTTTTTTTTAATTTCATTTTCAGAACCCGATCGCTCGACCGTGCATTACTTTACGGCAGACTTTCAACAGTCGTTCACTCCGGTTCTTTGACCGTGTTTTACGAATCGAAAAACTAAAAAAAAAAAAAAAAAAAAAAAAAAAAAATAATAATAAAACAACTCGAATAAATAATCATCCGGTGTGTGCAAATATTATAATTAGCATTAATAGCCCCTAAGCGGATTTGGGTAAAACGTAAAAAAAAAAATGTACGCATCCTTGTCAAAACAAAGGTACGGGAGTTCGTAGACTTTATTTTATTATTATTATTATTTTTTTTTTTGCAAGACCACCGGAGGGACCGCCGGCGACAGGAATGGGGAGGAGAGGATCAAAAAGCGGCCAATGCGTCGGCACACCCGAGGATTAATACCGCGCGCAATCGTGCAAGTGACAAAAAAATAACCGAATATACGCGGAGTATTCGCGTTTGAACGATCGTAAAAACAAAACCGAACGGAAGCGCTTTGATGTCCATTATGACGATACAAAGAACTACCGTATTCGCGGGCTTTGCGATTTCCGCCACCGCCGGGGCACGTGGTCGCAGTATTATTATTAACACGCTGCAGCACAAGCACAGTGCGCACCGCCGCGATGCAGAATATTAGTGACGTTTTGCTCCGAGGGATTTGTTAATGATGTGTGCATAAGCATATATATTTTGTGTCCGCGGCTCTATAACAAACCCTATAGAATGTTCTTCAAAAGTACGTCAAAAAATGAAAATAAAATAAAAATCATGAATTTGATTTTTTCCAAATTGAAATCAACAACTCAAAATACCCACCGCTAAAAATAACAGTAAATAAGTACAACATGTACATAGATTCCGTGCATTGTTTTTTCTGTCTATGAACCGTACTCGGCTCTCGACCAGAAGAATCGCTCTGATCGAAAATTGCATAGTATAAAATTGCTACCTAAATTGTTAATGTTCAAACAAAGGTTTCGTAATATTTTCAGTAAGATAGACGACAGTTAAACAAAAGTTTTAACGAACTAGATCACCGCCAATGATCACACCACGTTGAATACATCAGTTCTCGTCCGATCACTGAAGTCGAGCAACGTCGCGCGAAATTATAGTACTTGGACGGGTAACCGCTTGGCAAAATAAGTGCCGTTGGTGTTTATTTATTTATTTATTTTTTTTTTTTTGAGCACATTTTTTATGAGTTTATAGTAGACACAACTAAGGGTGCTAGGGGGTCTTTATCACACACAGCTTTTTCATAGTAACGAACAAATATTTTATCCGTGCATTTCATCATTAATGAGTAGAACCATTACGGATTTCCAATACAGACAATGCATGTGTCTATGAAGAATAATGTTAAAATAGTTATGATAAATTTATATACACGAAATTTTAAACTAAATGTGTAGTTGCTTATTATGAGTGCCGTATTAAGGGGATTTCGGGGGCATAGCCCGCGTGGGTTTTTGATGTGCCCATATTTTTAGCGCCCTCAAAGTTGGCGATCTAACTCGGCGGTTTTCAACCTGTGGGCCGCGACCCACAAAGAGATCACGAGTGATAGTTAGGGGGGTCGCCAAAAACCATAGGTATCATCATATGTATATTGTACCTAAACCGTATTATTTAAGTTCTATTAAACGATTAGTGAAGGGGTCATCATAAATGAAACAAAAACGATTAGGGGACCGCGATTCGTAAAAGGTTGAAAACCACAGGTCTAACTAATTGTGCATATGTAGTTTATACATTTTCGGACGAATAATAGCGACCCCGTTTGTTTTTGTATTACTCGTGATTTTTGGTTCGTTTTATAATTTCAAGCGAAACCGAATGGATGCAATCAAACGTACCTGCGTATGGAAATTAATAGAGATAAAAACCGGCACGCGGCAATCGCGATGGAATTTACATATTTTTATTTTATAGTTCGTGTTCGAACGCGGACGTGTAATGGCGCCAACGAAACATCGAAACCAACTACGCGTGCACGCGTATTTTTTTGGTACACCCGAGAAGAACTGGTGTACGACGACGGAGAGAAAAAAATAACACTAATAAGAATGATGTTCTTTTTTTTCGCACTGATACACATTTATTACACGTTGCGTGTTATACGTATATGCACTGTCGCAAACAAAACAAAAAAAAAAGGACGAAAATTATGCGAGGGGAAAAAATCGCGCCGAGAGAATATCAATGGAGCCCGGGACGTGGTGTTATATTAATGGTATGCTATACGATATAATATTAATATAAAGCCGTCGGTAAGCGTAATGATAATAGAATGACGTCGCAGTTGCAGTCGCACGTGCAGTGGCGTTTAATTCAGTTTTTATTTCGAATAAACTATTAACGTCGTATATTGGCAAACAACTTGTCCAGCGAAATAATAATACTACAGCGTAATCGAAATAATACGCATCACAGTATCTCGTCCGTGAAGTTGCCTCCCCCCCCCCCCCCCCCCC